TTAACAAAGCCTGATGGACCATGGAAGGCTGTGAATGCTGAGAGCTGCCACTCTGGGTTGCGTCCTGCCTCCTTCCTGGGACATGGTCCATCAGGCTTTGTTAACACTTACATGAGCTCCCACTCTTTATTATAAAGTGGAGTGTTCATAGCTGTACTTTAAATGAATTTTCTCACATAATTCTACAATTGTCCTAAGAGTTTGTCATTACTATTATTCCCACCTCTACTGAGGAAGAAACGGGGGCACGAAGAGGTCAAGTGATTTGCTCAAGGTCACCCAGCTATTAAGTAGCAGAGCCAGGCTCAGCTGATGTGGCTCAGTGGTTGAGCATTGGCCTATGAACCAGGAGGTTATGGTTCAATTCCTAGTCAGGGCACATTTCCCAGTTGCGGACTTGACCCCCAGTAGGGGGTGTGCAGGAGGCAGCCAATCAGTGATTCTCTCTCATCATTAATGTTTCTATCTCTCTCTCTCCTCTTCCTTTCTGAACCAATTTATACTAATAATAGAGGAATATACAAATTGGCCGGGATGCTGTCACATAACAACCAATCAGGACGGGGGTAGGGCCGTGGCAGAGAGCTCTCAGCACGCCTGCACCGGGAGTCCAAAGGGTGTGGAGAGGAAGGGAGAGCAGATAGGCAGTTAGGGGGATCAGGCCAGGTGGGGAGAGCAGATAGGCAGTTAGGGCGATCATGCAAGGAGGGGAGAGCAGATAGGCAGTTAGGGCGATCAGGTCAGGAAAGGAGAGCAGATAGGCAGTTAGGACGATCAGGCCAGGAGGGGGGAGCAGATAGGCAGTTAGGGGGATCAGGCCAGGAGGGGAGAGCAGATAGGCAAGGCAATCATGTAAGGAGGGGAGCACAGATAGGCAGTTAGGGCGATCAGGCCAGGAAGGGAGAGCAAATAGGTGGTTAGGGTGATCAGGCCAGGAGGGGAGAGAAGATAGGCAGTTAGGGGGATCAGGCCAGGAAGGGATAGCAGGTAGGCAGTTAGGGGGATCAGGCCAGGAGGGGAGAGCAGATAGGCAGTTAGGGCGATCAGGCCAGGAAGGGATAGCAGGTAGGCGGTTAGGGGGATCTGGCCGGCAGCAGAGAGCAGATAGGCAGTTAGGGGGATCAGGCCAGCAGGGGGAAGTAGTTAGGCAGTTAGGGCAATCAGGCCAGGAGGGGGAGAGCAGTTAGGGAGATCAGGCCAGCAGGGGAGAGCAGTTAGGGCCATCAGGCAGGCAGGCAGGCAGGCAGGCAGAAGAGCGGTTAGGAGCGGATTGCAAGAGGGATCCCGGATTAGAGTGGGTGCAGGCCGGGCTGAGGGACCCTTCCCCCACCTCCTGTGCATGAATTTCATGCACCAGGCCTCCAGTAAAAATATATTTTTAAAAAGTAGCAGAGCCAGGATTCAGCTCAGTTGGAGTGGCCTCAGAGCCACTCTGACTTGCTGCTCCTCACTGCTCCCTTCATTGTATATATTAGTGCTACTCATCACTGGACACCAGGGATATAAGAAACACAGCCCCAGTCTTCAGAGTCTAGAGGGTGAGGTGGGAAAAGGCAGCACCAAGGAGGGACTGTGGCTGGAGCCAGAGTGAGGGAGGCTACATAGGAAGTGATGAGTCGAGGGGCTGGAGGAACCAGATCTCGGGGGCCTTGGAGCCCAGCGAGGCCCTTGGCCCTGTTAGCAGATTTCTGACACCATGCTCTGCTGGCTTAGCGCAGACAGTCCTGATCCACAGGAGAGAATGGGAGAAACTCAACGGTGAGGCATATGGCAGAGGAAGGGTTGCCTGGGCTTTGGGATTCCTGCTACCTTGTAAGCCACTCTCTCTCCATCTAAAAAGCAACATGTGCCCGCCTTGCCAAAGTTGTGAGGACTCAGTGAGAGGCAGAAACACTGGAAGCCAGTGGCAGTTCCTGATGACAGGGGTTTGCTTCTTCTCGTTGCCCTTCACAGCTCACTTAGCTGCAAGTTCCTGGGGCTGTGCTGCCCACCTCCCTTGCCCCAGATGTGTTGCATAGTCCTAACTGATAACTGAAGCATGGACAGAACCTCTGGGAACATCTGGGCTTCCCTAGGGCCTTTGGTCAGCCTTTGTCTATCTGACAAGTTTATAAAAGCAAATCCAGGGCCCATGGATTTAGAGCCAGGGAGAAGGTTGATATTAAAATAGGGTTGGCCACCTGCTAGCACAGCCATCCACCTAAGAGAAGCTTCCCTTGTTGACTTCGAGAATCAATTTCTTTCTATTTTTAGTCTAAATACAATGTTGTATTAGGTTCAGGTGGACAATATAGTGAAGAATCAGTTTCTGAAGGGGAGATTCCACCACTCACCTCAGTCCAGTTCCTGTTGCAAGGTAGCTATTTGGAATCCTCCAGAAGCTTAGCTTCTCAGCCCGTTTCAGACATGAGAGCACAGCGGTGTGCTTTGAATTTGAACTTAAGGAAGTGTATGGTTTAGCAAGCAATTGAGGGCTTATGTGGTTTGTTTCAAGTTCTTTGCTTGTATCCAAAGAACATTCCATTTCATCTTTTGGATTCAAAGGCTTTTTTTTTTTTTCCTACTAACTAGACTTTTCTAACTCTAGGAGGCTGAGCCTTTCAGAAATCCTACCCTTTAGTTTCCTTAGGGACTTGTGAGAGAAGTTCAAACAACCAGACTAGTAAATCATTGCTAACTTGTAAACTATTCCTTCATACATTCATCAAAGAACCACCAGATTCCTGTGCCAAATGCTGGGGACCAGGGAAAATGTGGCTGCCTTCTGAACCTCCCATGAAATCGGGAGAGGTAAAGTTTATTAGCAAGTAAACGAATGACAAGTGTGTTGTCCCTCTGCAGGAAAGGGGGCTGGCACTACTTTAGATATATAGAGATGTATCGTAGGAGGAAGGCTCCTCCGCCAAGGTTGAGACCTGAGCTGAAACTGAAGAGCGAGAAGGAGGCAGCCATGCAAAGACTTAAAGGAGGCACTTTCCAGATGAAGGCAACAGTGAGTGCAAAGTTCCTGCTGGGGCAGAACACAGCGTGCTCAAGGAGCAGGGTAACTGGAGCAGAGTGAGTGAAGGGGCCAGGAGGGGGGGAAAGGGTCACGAGAGGAGGGGTGCTGGGACTCGCAGGCCATGGAGAGACACCTGGCAATAAAGTCATATTTTCCCTCATGCATTTTGCAAATTACACTATTTATTCTTTCATTTGACATCTTTATTAAGCATTTTCTAGGTGCTAGGCACTCTAAGATGTAAGACTAGACAGTGAACAAATAATATAAGAAAGATCAAAATAGCAAGAATGTCACTTGGTCATGACAGCTAAAAAGGGAAATTCATGTTGAAATGAGGGTCACAAGGACTACTGGGGTCTGATGAGAACATGAAAGCAGAACCTCAGACTCGGGCTGGACTTCCCCCTGTGCAGGGATATTTGAGAGAAAGCTCGTCAGTCAATCCCAACTCTAGCTGTGTGACCTCGAGCAAGTTACTTAACCTCTCTGTGCTTGAACTTCCTTGTGTGTCCTATCAGCTCTTGCTCAAAGTAGATGAGAGAGTGACTGTGAGGTGACAGAGCCCAGTGCCTAGCAGGCAGTAAGTACTTAGGAAATGTTGGCTGAACATTGGTGGAGCATTCCAACATCTTAGGTGGGGAAGAAATAGTCTTTATTGATCTAAATCTACCGAAGTTTAATGCTAAGGAAAAGAGGTTGGGAGAGAATTTTCTGGTGGATATCAAACTCTGAATGTAAGCCACTAGCCATCTTTATGTTAGTAATCTTGGAAACCATTATGAAATAAATTATTTGCATAAAGTTTTATTTGTCCCTGCATTCTATTTCCCCGTTCTCATGTAAAACCACAAACAATTTTTGTTTATCGCTACTGGCCTTGAGGAAATAGGATATTTTGCTTTACTCCTTGGATATGTATTATGCATTAAAAAAAAATACAGTAGCACCTCATAAAGTTTCAAAAGTAGAGCGAAAAATTTCCCATGATTTCATCACCCTAAACAATCAACACTTAGACATTTTTTTGTCTCCTCCCTCTCTTTGCAAACACATCTTAACATGCTTTCAGGGAGAGTGTGCCATGACCTTGCTTTTATCCTCACACCCCTTTCTCTTTCCTTTGTAGAGCAAGAAGTTTGTCATGTGGTAATACAACTTTAATAAGTCTACTTTCTTACTGGTGCATAAAAGTCTATCTGGTGGCTTCTGCCATAATTTACTTAGGCATTTTCCTGTTGGTAGACATTTTGGTTGCTTGCAGTATTACATTATTTTCAACTGAACTGTAATGAGCAGCTTCACAGTGTTTTCTTTCTTTTGGCTTATTTCTTTAGGATAAGTTCCCAGAAGTGGAATTTCTGGTTCAAAGGGTATGAATATTTTTGTGTGTGTGACTCTCTACATATTGCCAGATTGCTTTCCCAATGGGCTGTGCCCACTGTAAACGGCTTCAGCACTCTTAAAAATGACTGACTTTCACAGCCACGTCCACGGTCTTGGTGGGCTGCTAACCTGAGTGACTGTCGCCTAAACTCAGCAGCTTGCAAATGCAGCAAGGGAAGCGGGGGAAGGGCTCCAGCAGAGCCTTTGATCCAGGACCAGCCCCAGGGCTCAGTGTGTCACCTGCACTTTGTCACTGCATGTTTGTAGTGGCCCCATGATCTCAGGGGTGGTGGGTCCCCATTTCCAGAGCTTGAGCCTGGGCTTGGGGCATTCATGCTACTTGCCTGACCCCAGGTTGAGTCGAGGTTTGTCTGACTGAACCCATCCTCCTGCCCCACTCACTGAACTCATCCCAGGACTCTCCTTGCCAGAGTTTGCTCCCCATGCATTGAAGCAAACTGGAGGAGTTCTTTATATCTGAGTTTAATCAGCTGTCACCTTTCCCAAATTTAGTCTGCTCTTCCAGAGTCAGTCTTCCTGTCATTCTGTGGCAGCACCTCAAAGAATAATTCTTTTTTAGTATTATTTTTAAATTTGCATGTGTATTTAGCAAAGTAAAGTACTCAGTAAAAGCTTAAAGCTGGATCCCAAGCTTAAATCTATTAAAGACAAAGGCATGTGGTTGGAAGAACGTAGACTTTGGGAGTCTGATTGTTAATTGAGTCACCTTGAGGAGGCTGCCTAACATCTCTGGGCTGTAGTTTCCTATCTGTACAATGAGAAACAAGCAGGTCTTTAAAAGGCTAGAATGAGATGACAGTATAGTGCCCTCCTGTACCTGGCAGGCGGTGGGTAGCAGAGGGCATGGGTATTGTTTTAGGGGGTGGTGGGATGAATTTGATGTCTTCTCCTGGTGTCTTAACTTTTGTGAATTCACGGGAGTTGTGTTGCTTGTCAAGTGCCTGCCAGACCCAGTAGCCCCAATGGGACCTAGCTTTCCCCCAAGTGGAGCACCGGGCCTTCTGGGAACCTGCCCCCTCTCACGTTCGTGGGCGTGGCTTCTCATGCATTCTTCCTGCTCTTAGCAGTTGAGGCAGGAACCAGGAATAATATTGTGGGTTCTACTTTATATATGCTTCATATTTTTATTATTTTATTATTATTTTGTATTCCTGGAACTATCTTCCATCTGTTGCTTGAAGAGCAAAAGCAGATCTTTTACCAAAAAGGTCCACATTAGGGGCCAAGTTTCAAACCCCTTTTACACTGGAAGGCTCTGGTTTTCAGAGTGATGGATGTAAGCTGCACACATTTGTCTTTCCTCATCCCCGTCCAGGGTCCTCTTGATTTCTCTGCCTTCAGAGCCCCAAGAGGAATGGGTTGTTGGCAGTGAAATGAAGCATCCACATAACTCAGACCTGATCGCCATGGGCCTTTTTCTTTCTTTTTCCCTCATCTCAAGGCTGTGACTCCCTATTTTCTCAAACTGCCACATAGGTTAGGTGCCCACCCACATCTTGGGCTTTCTGCACTTGGGCTGCCGTGAGCATTGGAACGTCTTCTCCTCATGTGCTTGGTTAAGTGACACAAGTGTCACACATTCCTGAGTTCAACCCCAGCTCAGCCACTCAGCAGCTGCGTAAACTTAGATTTCTCTGCCCCTCCACAATGTTTCTTCCTGAATAAAATCTTTACATTGCAGGCAAGTACCCACATTGCCTGGCACACAATAGGAGCATTATGAATAAAAGCTATTTTGATTTTTTTTAAATGAAAGTATACCTCTTCTTACTGTTGCAGATGTCTTTATGAAGATTGTACTTTAAAAACTCAGATCACTACTAATGCCACCACCATCACCATCTATAATAATAAAAGCATAATATGCTAATTAGACTGGACGTCCTTCCGGACGACCTTCCGGATGAAGCGGGGCTGCGAGGAAAGCCCAGGTCCTGGGTGCCTGCCAGCGGCCGGAGGGAAGCCTGGGCCCCAGGTGGCTGCCAGCAGCTGGAGGAAAACCCGGGTCCCGGGTGCCAGAGGGAAGCCAGTGCCGGCAAAAGGGAGAAGGAAGGCCTACTCTTGCACAAATTTTGTGCATCGGGCTTCTAAGTTACAATATAAAAGCTTATTTTTCTCTAGGGCTCATGGTTGACAGTAGGTCCAGGAAGTAGGATTATTCTAGTTTTCTACATTAGATTAAGTGATTGGCCCAAGGTCTCCTGCTGGTTCCAGGCCAAGGCAGGATTAGTGTTAGGCCTGCCGTGGGGCATCTTTACTGCCTGGATTATCAGGAGTCCTGGTTTTGGGAGACACCTTGTCATATAAAGGGCAGCCTCTTCTCTCAGTAGGCCAAGCCTGTAGTCCTCAGAACTGTAAACAAGAGGACCCAAAAGTGGGCTGGAATTCATTTTCGTGTGGCTCACCAGTGGCGACAGTGGTTTGTCCCATGCCCGCCCCCGTGCCCAGCTGGCGAGTGACTGGAGTAAAGGATAGCTGCCCCTTTACAGAACACATGCTGGCTGCTTCCTGCCCATCCCCCAGCTTTATCTCAGAACCTTCTAGCAGCCCGGCGAGGTGGGGACTACCATCCCCATTTCACAGATGAGGACATTGAACTCACGGAGTTCAGAGGCCTTACCCAGTGTGGCACAGCTGGGAGTCCAACACAGATCTCATATGCCTGACTCCAGAGCTGTTTACCTGTGGCCATCAGCTAAAGTCAGGGACAGTGGTCTGGAGGAGATCTCTCCTGTGGGCTGCCCTTCTGCTTCCTGGCCTCCGGTTGGTGGGCAAGTCAGCCCCAACTTAAGACTCAAGGGGAGCAAGCAGGCCCTGGGTGAAGGCTGCTTTCTGCACAAACTTCTCTGGCTTTTGGGGCCTGGGCTTCTGCTGTTTTCCTGCTCTCTGGAAATGCCTAATGACCACACAGGATTCTTCCAGACGCCTCTTCCAGGGGCCAAGAATCCCAGCGCTAATGGAGCTGCCTCTGCCCCCAGAGAGCTGGCAGGGGAGGCTCAGGGCACTAACATCACTGAACACCTGCCAGGTGCCAGGTGTGCTGCCCCGTCAGTAACATACCCTGATGGAAGGCCAAGAGACCAAGGCTCCGAGGTGAAGGGGCTCATCCAGGGCGGGGCAGGGTTTTAATGGGGTCTCGCTGGCTCTGAGCCCCCCAAGCATCGCCTCTCTTCTGCCGCCCCTGCCCCTACATTCAGTCGGTGGGACCTTGAAATACTTTCACTCATGATTTGGATTTCCAAATTCCATGCTGGTTTAGTTGAAAGAGGCCTGGTTCTAGCCCTCCCTAGATGTGTGCCCAGGCAGATCATGTCACCTCCTTGGGTGTCATCAAGGTCACATGACATGAGGCTAAATGTCCTGGCAAATGACAGGTGCTCAGTTGAGGGAAAGTGGCCCACGCCTGAACCCCTGGATATGGATAACTGAAAGAGGCTGTGCCCTTTGCAGTTTTTTGGTTTTTGTCTTGCCCTGAAAGCACCAGAGCCATGATACTGGGAGTGGGGGAGAGGCAGACTTTGTTTTGTTTGTTTTTAATCAAATGTCAGTGTGAGTTCTCCATGTGAAGCATTTCACCAAAATGACTGCAATCTCACCTTTCTCTGTCTCTGCACTGTCCATTCAGGCCATCCGGGTGTTCTTCATGCTCCGTTCGCTGTCACTGCAACTGCGAGGGGAGCCGGAGACCCAGTTGCCACTGACTCGGGAGGAAGATCTGATTAAAACCGATGACGTCCTAGATCTCAGTGAGTTGGCCTCTGAGTCACAGCAGGGGGGACACTGTGGTGCTGACTCACGCGTCACTGGAAGGGTCGGTGTGTGACCTGCATTTTGTACTGGTGTTGATGTGTGACCTTGGTAATAGAGTGTGCATGTCCCATAAAACTTTTGAAGAAGGGGACCCAGATTCTAGGCACTTTGATTCTGGGCTTGCGGGTTCTGCTCTCTGGAGACCAGGCGGAGCTGTGCAGGTGGTTTAGTAAAAGATCTGTGCCAGGGCTTTGGGGATCCTCAAGCTCCAGGATCTCCGTCCTCCATGCAATCATAGCAGCATCAGTTTGATTGGTTTTGTCTATTAAGGGTTTTCTGTATGAATCCAACGATTAAAGGGTTCTGCTGCTTAAAAAAAAAAAAAGGGCTTTCAAAAATGCAAATCACAGCCTGACCGGGTGACTCAGTTGATTGTAGCATCAGCCCGTACACCAAAAGGTTACGGTTCAATTTCTGGTCAGGGCACATACCTGGTTTGCAGGTTCAATCCCCAGTTGGGGCGTGCATATGGGAGGCAACCAATCAATGTTTCTTTCTCTCTCTCCTACCCCCCACACCCCCAAACATATCCTTGGGTGAAGATTAAAAAACAAAAGGAAGCAAATCACCAGTATTTAGGTAGACAGGAATAAAAGCTTTGGAGGCCAGAAAACTGTGCTCAACCTGAATCCTTGGACTATTTATTTAATACACTGCAGCATGAGGCTGAGATTTAAAGGAGACAAAAGGTATAAAGCCTGATCATTTTACCATAACCCTCCTCATGTGTCTACATAGCTCTCTCTTTCCTCGATTTGCTAGGGAGCAGACAAGATGGTTTTCTGATTCTTAAAGGCATTGTAGTATATTAGGACTCTTTAATTATAATGGACAGAAAACCTAACATAGGCTTGCTTAAGGAAAAAGCAAGGGGAATTGGCTGATGTCACTAGAAAGTCCAGGATTAGCTGCCTTCGGGGATGGCTGGATCTAGGTGCTCAAGCAGTATCATCAGGAAGCTACTACCCTGCATCTCTCGGCTCTGCTTTCCTCTGTTCTGGATTCATCCTCAGGAGGGCTCTCACCAAGTGAGACCAGTGGCCATCAGCAGCTCCAAGATCTGTTGAAGCAGCTAAGCAGCCCTGACAGAAACAGAGCTACTCTTTCCCTTTTATAGAAGTCCAGGGCAGTGCTCTCATTGGCCCAGCGTGGGTCATATGACCATCCCTGAACCAGTCAATGGTCAGAGGAATTCAACTCAGTGATTGGCTAGGCTGGGTCATATGCCCGGAGCTGGAAGTGGAGCCTGTTCCTTTTGAGCCCCATCACTTGAGAGAGGAAGGAAAGAACCTTCATGGGAAACTTGTAAAGAAGAAATGGAACCTGAGCAAGCAGGAACAGCAAATGCCATTCTTTGTTGTGTAGTATGAGGAGAGGGGTCCTTGTTTTAAATCAGCTTTATGAAATATAATTTACAGCCAATAAAATTCACCAAGTTTAGTGTACAATTGAATTAGTTTTGACAAAACGATTCAATTGTGTGACCAGCGATCATGATATAGCCCACTGAGGGTTGGCTTTCAAGCCAAATACTCCTGCCCTTGAGCAAATGACTGAAACCCTTACAGTATCTGTTTTCTCGCCTGGAAAATGGAGATGACCTTCTTTATATTTGGGGCTGTTTTGACACTTGAGTGAAATGTAACTTGAGCCCTGGCTGGTGGACTCAGTGGTTAGAGTGTCAACCCTCACACTGAAGGGTCTTGGGTTCGATTCCCAGTCAAGGGCACATACCTGTATTGCTCTCTCACATCGATGTTTCTTTCTCCCCCTCACTTCCACTTTCTCTGAAAAGCAATGAAAAAAAATATCCTCTGATGAGGATTAAAAAAAAAAAAGAAGAAATGTGACTTGACCAAATGTGTCTAGCATATAACTATTCTCAGGAAATTGTTGTCAGAATCACTCGTGAATTAAATGAGGTGAAGCATACGAAGAGCAGAGTACGTGGTTATTATGCGTTTACCTGGCTGTCTAGCTTCTTTTTATGCCTCTTCATGTTCTTTTCTTTTTTTTTCTTGGAAGAACAAAGAAGCTATGTTCCCTCTGTGCTCTATGCCCATCTCCTTTGGCTTTTCGTTTTTGAGAAATGGCCATAGTGGGTTCTGTAAGGGTTTAAATTGATCAAGTTTTCTAGAGAACTACAAACCAGTCTTTTTCTGATTTGATTCAAAGAAAGAAAGGGAAACAGCTTGCTTTAAAGGGGGCTACTGTATTCTATTTGAAAATGGAATTAAATTTTATGCTGGGAACTCACATTTCCTCCCTCTCCCGCCAAGAATGGCCTGCTGAAATAAAGGTTAAAAGTATTTCACTTATCAATTTTAATTGATTATATTGCTAGTTGAGGTCACTTAACTGAGCCTTTTTGGGGAGTTGGCCATTAAGAAAGTAATGGCTGTCTATCTTTACCCAGTCAGGTTGCAAATTATGTCTTTGTTAAAGAGGATGCCATCCAGAAAATATTAGGAATTACGGATTTTGCAAGTACATGGCATAGAATAAGCTCTACACGTGTTGTTGACCTGTGTTGGTGTGTGTGTGTGTGTGTGTGTGTGTGTGTGTGTGTGTATGATTTTTTTTAAATGCTGGAATGGCCAGAGGAATTCAACTCAGTGATTGGCTAGGCTGGGGTCATATGCCCGGAGCTGGAAGTGGAGCCTATTCCTTTTGAGCCCCATCTCATCTTCCACTGGGGGAAATTAGCATGCTTTGCGTCTCACAAGATGTCCTCCGTTTGTACAAAATGAAGGAGGCATCATAATGTAGGCGGAAGCATTTGTATTTGGTAAATGATTGGAAGCTGGACACACTTCTTATGAGCTTAGTGTTTTGTTTCCCTAACAACAACAACAAAAAAGGAAGCTGAGTCAGGGAGAAAAGTTTAGGGTTGGTCAACTTTTATCTAAGGTGATATGGTCTGACACACTTAAAGAAATGCTTGCTCTGTACAGCAGGAAGAGGTGACAGAAGAGTGTATTTACTAAGCTTGTCACACTTTGATAAGAAACCACAGTTCATGAGTACTCAGGAGCCATCTCACATGCCTGCTGACCAGCAGCAGGCCTCTAGGCCAAGTACAGCAGGTGAGCTCTGGTGGGGTGACTTCTGACAAGGATCATCAAAGATGCATCAACCTGTTATCAGTCCTCCAGAAGGAAGCAAACTGTCCTTAAAGCCTGTCTTGTTTTCATTGTAGAGAGTGGTGGGGGCAGAGGTCACAAACTGGCTGCCAAGGAGGGAGGGAGGGAGGGAAAAAGGGAGAGAGGGAGGAAAATGGAAGGAAAGGAGAAAGAGAGAGAAGGAAGAAATCAGAATACAATCAGGTGCATGAAGCACAAGGCATGGCTACAACTATGTAAAAGTCAAGTGCCCATGTGGATAAGGCTGGGAAGGAAAGAAGAAAGAAAGGGGAAAGGGAAGAGAAAATAGACTAGATAAAGTAGATTAGATTTCTTTAGAGAGAACAACATGAATCTCCATAAGCCCAGTCTTCAGCTTTAACAGTTATTACCCTTTTGCACAGTACAGTCTCATTGTATCTGCCCCACCATTTCTCAAATTATAATATGCCCCCTGACAGTGTATAAAAGCTAATGGAAGACATCATATTATTGCATCTATAAATACTTCTAATAGATAGGGACTTTGGTTAATCTTAATTGAATTGGTTGCCATCATGGCAAATTGTGAGCTTCTCTAGCCTCTCTGCTCATCTGGATAGAGTCAGACCTGGGGCCTGTGCTCTCCTGTGTTCTGCCACCCTGGCCCCATTGACACTTGATTTTGCAGTCTCTGGCATAGTTGGAAGTAATCAGCTTTGTGATCTTGCTCGGGGTCTTCATGCTTGTGAGGCCCAGTGGCCTTGCCTTTAAGATGGTTCGAAAAGACTTTGCAAAGGCTGTTGAAGATCAAATGAGAACATGCACATACAGCACACAGCACTGTGCTTGGCACATAGTAGGTGCTCAGTGAACGAGAGCTGGCTGTCGTCCCTGTTGTAGCTGCTAAGTATCGAGATGTAACTCATACTGTGGGGCACCAAGGGGCGGGCCTTTTCCGCTTTAACAATGTTTTAGGAACGTATCCTGAAATATTCAAACCAGTACAACACCTGTATGATGGCAGTGTTTTGGGGGCAAGAAAGGCAGTTCTGGCTGCTTGGGCTGAGATGAAGAGAGCTGCACCCCCTGTCCAGGCAAGGCACACTGCACATTCACCAGTAGGCCTACTGACCAGCAGTCCTGGTAGTGCTCTGAGGACAAGCAGACTTCAAGGAGAAGCCAGGTTCCTGCCTGGATTGGCATTGGAGCCTTTCGAAGGAGTCTTGCCTGTTTCCAGATAACAGAGGCAATCATGGTAGAGGAAGTTCCCCCATTACCCAGACATCCTAGGGAGATACAGGCAACCAGGCATCCTCAGGAACCATCTGGTTTCCTTCCCAGCCTTATCCACATGGGCACTTGACTTTTACATGTTGTAGCCATGCTTTGTGCTGCATGCACCTGATTGTATTCTGATTTTTAAAGCCCATTTATGAAATCCATTCAGTGAAATCCATCCATTTGTTCAATTACATTGAGTGCCTGTTGTATGCCAGGCACAGTGCTGGGAGCTGGGATGTGATAGTGAGCTAAAGCCAGACTTGGTCTCTGCTCTTATGATACTTCTAGTTTGATGGGGGAGAGGGGAGCTGAGAGAGCAGTAGGTGTGAAGGAAGTAAATGCACGACCTTTCAGATGGCTCTGTGAGGTCATGAACAGGGTCCTGTGCTAGGGAGTAGCTAGGAGGAAAGACCTGGTAGGCTGATTAAGGAGGGCCTCCCCAGAGAGGTGCTGTATAGGAGGGACCAGAAGATTCTATGAGAAAATGCAAGAATGAGGCCCACCAGTTAGAGGTGATGGCGAGGTGAGGCTGGAAGATGGGACAAAGCTTG